TTCAGCAGGGGGAAAGGGAGTGGGCAGGGGCACCGAGGAGAGTTTCAGGGTGGGAGATAAGCAGGCACAAGTTGCATCCGTGCAGCAGCCAGGGTAGCCTGGTAAATCTGATCGAGATGTGCTAAGATGGGCACGTCCTTGGGAAATACAGCCATCCCTGTGCACGGAGCAGGTGACGACTGCAGAGGGCTCTGAGACCAATAGGACTGAGCAGCAGGCAGAAGCTCTTGGCTCACACATGCTTGCAAGGAGGGAAGGCGAAAGGGAGCCCTAAGCCTGACCCAGCGGAGCCAGGGGTAAAACACTTGTGAGCAGGGAGGCACAGGGTGCTGTTAACTTCTAGGTCTCAGGACTCTTGGTATAGCCACTGGGCTTTCTGGGAGGTCAAGAAAGCACTGCCCAGCTGGACTTCGCACTCACAAGGGTTTTCTGAGAATCTGCTATGGGTCCCAGCCCAGCTTTCCCTCTCAGCACTGCCTGGTGGCAGCAGTCACCTGGGCACTGAGTGTGCTGCAGATCAAGTTATGTCTGTGCTGCTCAACAGAAGTGGGTGAGGATCAACCCTCCACCCCCAGCTAGCTGCGTCTGCTCTGCTGTAGCCCCTGTGGAGCGGCATGTGTGGCGAGGGCTTGCTGGAGCCAGCCGAGTGGCGCTGGCAGCAACAGGACAGGATGGGCAATCGAGGCCCTGTCCTCATCTCCTCTGCACAGAGTGGGGAGAACCTGCAACTGAAAGGACGTGCTTGCTCTGCATGTTGCTGCGCTTCAGGCAGCGTGCTCAAAGCCACTTGCGCTGTGCTGAGTTTAAAACATCATGGCGATGGCAGGCTTTCTCTGTCGCAGGTCCTGCCTGAGCCGCACACCGGAGGCAGGTCAGAGCAGGCAGGACTGTATTGGCAGGGGGGCCGCCCCCCCCCGGGGGCCCCCCCCCCCCCGAGGCCTCACGTCCAGGCCCCTCGGCTGGGCTCCCGCCTCCCGCGGTGCTGTTCGCCTCCGGCCCGCGCACCACCGAGCCCGCAGCAGCCTCCGTGGAAGTCAAACCGTCAGGGCAGAATTCATGGCACGAGCGGCAGCTTAGGGAATTTAACTTTTGTGTCTCCTGGACCAGTTGTTTATAGGGATCCCTGACGCCATCGCCTGCACCGACACCCCCTCCCCGTACCTGCCCCGGGTTCCCGTCCCGGCTCTCGGTGCTTAGCAGCGGCTGCACCGCTCCGCTAAAAATATTCTTTAGCCTCTGAACAGACTTAAAGTTATGCACAAATCCCTGAGCTCCCACTTCAACCCAGACAGCCGGCACCTGCTCTCCGCTGGGAAGGTAAAAGCTGTGAATTCAGGTTTTGGACACCGGTGCGGGTCATTTTATTTTAAGTCTGAGACAGACGGCGGGTATCATTTAGTCGAGAATTCTCCTCCAGGCTCAGCCGGGGGCTGGCAGGGCCTGGTCTTCCCCTGCTCTCGTTCCTTGCACGCACCGCCTGGCTGCGGCACCGCGGGAGGCAGCTGAAAGCTTCCAGCCCAAGCTCTAAGTTAGGATCACAAGCTGAAGAAGACAACTCAATGTCACCCCTCCCGAGACTCCCCCGCGCTAACGCCAGGTGAAGCCGGACTTTCCCTTTATCCCTCTGCGCGAGGACGGCCTGCCAGAGCCAGGACGCGGTCTGCCACAGACAGATGGTGCCACAGCAGAGCGATAAGCTCCTGCAGAACAGGAGCAGGGCTGCTCCGTTACCGACACCGCCCCGGCGAGACTCTCCCAGACGCGCTGGCAAAGCATCTACGCAGAGCTGCCATCAGGTCTGAAGCCTCCCCAGCGATTCCCAAGGAAAGCCCAAGCCAAGGTACAGCCTCGCTGCAGAGCTGGGGAGAGCCAAAAAGGCGCGGAGACGCTGGGGCACGCGTTTCACAGCCGAACGTGGGCACCTGGCCACCCCTTTGCCAACAGCCAGCGCTCTACCCCATCTGGGGAGCCGAATGCATACCTTGACGCACCCACCGTCCTCCTCTCCGTTACCCCCCTCGATACCCAGCCCAGGGCACGAGGAAGGCACCGGCCTGCGTTTTGCTGCCCCCCACACCAGAATCTGCTCCGGTCCAGCCCTCAGAGGGCCCAAAGCAGCTCCGACCCCGTGCAAGCTCACCGTCCGAGCTTAGGAGGAGTGGTGCAGGTGGACGGAGCCGGCCTCCTTACGGGAGTTTCCTGGACCACGCAGCACCTTTCACCCCACAAGGGGATGCGCCTTCCTTCCCTCCGCAGGGCGCTGCGTGCCCGGAGCACGACCGGCCAGCGCCCGGCGGCAGCGCCCAAAGGGGGGCCCCTGCCGATCCAAACCCAGACCAGGTGGTTTATTCACTTCATATTTATTTTTCACAAAGACTGTACAAAATTCTTATAAAATTCTGGTGTGGGGATGGGCTATGACATTGATCCAAAAAATAATTCCCATGCAGTCCCACCAGTTTCATAACTTACAAGGAAACAGATAAGCTACAGAGAGCTGCGAGTCCTGGAGTATTTACAGCGAGGAGGGCGGGAGAGAACAGGAGACAACGCGACACGGGAACAGAGGTATGTACAGTATGGACACACAGGGCCCCGCGCCTCACGGTAACGGCGGCAGCAGCAGCAGGAGGCTGGGCCTGTGGTGCTCAGAGGCCGATATAGAATATGGGCTATTTACAGTATCTCACATATTAACAGCTTTACAAACGTGTCCAGGGAGTTCTTCTCATGTATATAAAAAAAAAAAAAGCACCAAGTGTCTGAATACAAATCACACGGGCCTCCACGGGGGCTAGAATCTGAGGGCAGGCTGGCACCTGTGGCGTCACCGGCTGATGTCTCTGCTAGAGTCCCACATTTTTGTGCTCGGCTCCATCTCCAACATGTCAAAGAAGGGGTGCTTGAGGGCTTCGGCCAGGGTGATGCGCTTGGACGGCTCGTACTCCAGCATGCTCTCGATGAGGTCGAAAAGGCGGTGATGGTCCTCAGCCTCGGAGGTCAGGTAGCGCTGGGGAGATGGAGGGAGAGGTTGGGGCCGAGGACGCTGCGCCCTGTCCCGTCGCGGTATGCTCACTGGGCTGAAGGGCTAAGCTGGGGGAAGACTGGTTTGTTCAGACCTCGCTCATCCTAGACCTGAACTCTGGGCCGCTCTACCAAGCGCGGAACTGCCGAGTTCCCCCTCCCGCCCCCGCCATCTTTCCCAGGCACTTCCTGAGGTCTCCGTGCCCTCCTCCTCCTCCACTTCAGATTAAGCTCAGGTTGACGCAGTCTTCCCAGTTTATGTCTGGGACAGCCAAGGCTCCTTCGGGAAGACACTGGTCTGACCCTTTCGGTGGCCCAGCCTTGCCCACAGGAAGAATCTTCACAACTGGGGCAGGCACTATAAGACTCTGCAATGAGAAAAGGATAAAGCGACCGGATTCTCCTGCCCACCCCGCCTTACCCGCAGCGGCTTGCAGTTTTCCCTAACGTAGCGGCCAGCGGAGGTGTTCTCGTCCCAGTCCAGGCGGCCATGGTAGAAATATTTCTGTTTCCTGTCAGAGCAAGAGGTGGGAACAGGTTACACCCAGGCACAAAACGTCCTGCAGCAACAGCAACGCGCCAGCCCCGGCAGCACACGCGACGCGGGACGCCGCGGCAGCACGGACAACTGGCTCAGCAGGCAGCTTCAAAGCTCGATCCCTCAGAGAGAACCGCTATACGGGAAGCGGGAGAGAGCTGGCAAGCCTACGGTGCCCAGCTGGCCTCGCTCACCTCGTCTTCCGGATCATCCGAGAAGGAATTGGCCCCAAGATCCTCTCCATCATGGCGAGGTGCTCCCGGTTGTCATGTGTCTAAGAGAGAGAGAAATGTAAAGGGAAGGCATGGAACAGATTCCAGTTGTTCCACCTCCAGCCCTGGGTGTTCCCCAGTTCAGAACCCCTTGCTGGGCAACGCCTCGGTCGTCTCTACAAGACTGCGGTGATGGAGGGAACCCCATCAGTCCCAGAGGCTCCTGGCTGTACTGGGAAACAGCCAGCGTCCTCTTTCATCAGTTGTGAGGTAGCCATACAGCGTACAGTTCTCACCTGAAACAGGGTGAAACCCACATAATACTCAAAGATGATGCAGCCAATGCTCCACACATCACAGGGCTGGCTCCAGCCAAGCTCTAAAAAACAATGTTTTTTAAATAAAAGATCCAGTTACGGCCTAAGCTTCCAAATCCCTCTCCCTTTTAAAAACAAACAACTGGAAAACCAATTCCCATTTCAGCCAGGCTCCTGACGTGCCGGTGGCAATATACTGCCCAGCCGGCAGCAATGCCAAAACACCAACTTGTAAGTTGTTGACCCTCCCAGAAAACAGAGAGTAGAGCACGTTAAGTAAAGCATTTCTCATCTCCCGGGGTGAACCCAGGACAGCTACTGAATGATGTGGAGGCAAAACGCTCCTCAATCCAGCAGGCAGCACCCAGCACCCTCGAGGCGAACGCCCACCTCTGCAGAAAGACCAAGCGGTACCTACCCAGTATGACTTCTGGGGCCCGGTAATGCCGGGTAGAGACAATCGTGCTGTGATGCTCGTGATCAAACGTGGCGCTGCCGAAGTCCACCACTCTGATGGCTGTGCTCTTCACGCTCCGCTCATCCCGCTTCTTCGTGAGGGAGAAGGGTATCAGTTACTTGGGAGTTTCGAGACTTAGCCCCTTCCTGACGCAGCTGAGGTTTCGCCACGGGAGGGGAAGGCTTCGGAGGCTACGTTAGCACTGGCACAGCCCCAAACGAACTCTCACCATCCCACAGGTGAGCCTGCGGTCCCTATAGCTTACTTATAGACTAGACGGGCCGTTCAC